AGATAACAATTGCAGCAACATTGAAGATGTTAACTAGCCTCTCTGGAATACCACCATTTGAGTAAACTTTGGATATGCTAGTAATTTAATGAGCAAAAAGGACGTGCGAGAAGTATTTGCTAACCAACCTTCTGATGAGGCTCAGTTCTGTTGACTAGAGTATAACTTTAACGAGTAAAAAAATATTAGCTAATTGTAGTGCTTGAGATATAATTTTTTTTTTTGTTTTAGTTGGACTAGTTGATCTCACGTTATGCACTGAATATTTTTTTTTCATACTTTTTGGTTCAGTTTTGTAATATTAAAAATGATATTTTTCTTTATATTTACCCTTTGGAGATTATAAAAATCTGATCACTGTATGTATAAATATATGTATTTGTATTGTTAAAAATACTAGTGGACCATAAAAACAAGATTGCTAAAAGTCAAAAGAGATCAGGAGGATGGATGCACCATAAGTTCAATTTTCAATCAATGGACATAATTTGTCCCAATTTAAATATCATTCTGAGTTTTTGCACGCATATTAAAAAAAATAATACAAATGTGCATAAATCGTAGCAAAAAAAGAAAAAAAATAGAAAAATCTCTAAAAAAGTTTGAGATTAATGTTTTCAAGTTAAATAATTAAAAGGATAAAATTAAAACTAATTTAATTAATAATTCATTGAAAATCTAAAATGAGAATTAATTTAGAACAAAATAATCTTTCCAAAAAGAAAAATAATACGAAACATTAAAAGTCTAATAATGTGAAATGGATTTACCTACATTTAATATAGTGATGAATTTCATTACACTAATCCATTGCAATATATGACCACCACATTATTAAGGCATTACATAAGTTGCATAGATCACCAAAAGATTACCAACAATTCCAATAATCCACAAACTTAAATTTGGGAACACAATCAAATTACATTATATATTCACTACTAGAAAAACGCGTTTTAGCAACGTCCATATCCATCGCTAACCAGTATACTTCTGTCGCTAACGTTGTATTAGAAACGGAACTTCGCCGTCGCCACCTCCGTTGCTAAAGGGCGCCTCGCTAATTTTAGCTACGACGAGATTAAATCCCTCGCTACATTTAGCGACGGTATTTACGTCGCCAATGTCTGTTACTAAGGTGGAGACAGAATTACAGCGTTGCTATAGTCGTGGCTACTGTAGCAACAACACTTCTGTCGCTGTATGCGTTGCTACGGTCGCAACAACCTGTTCGTTGCTAATATCGTGGCTAACGGAGCAACGACATTTCCATCGCTACACCAAATACAGACGTTGCAAATATCTGTGGCTACTTCGTAGCAGTATTCGTTGCAATTTTTATTCCGTGAAAAAGGTCGTAGCTATCTTTGTTGCTATTGTATCCCAAATTCGAACAATTAGTTTCTAAATCTGTAGCTAAATTCGTTGCAATATATTACCAAATATTACTAAATTTATATACAAATATCCGCGGCTAAATCCATTGCAGAATATATTTTCAAATAACCTTTTTAAATGTGTTTTTTTACCCATTTTAATTTATTTTTTTATCAATAAATTTACACCTGTATTTAAAAAAAATGCAAAAGAAAAAACAGTGTAATACTAACGAGCCATGCTAAAATTTGAATCACAAAAATCATACTAATTAACACCGCAATAACATCAAAATAAACATGTTCACAAAAGAAACAACATAGTCAATACTAATGAGCTCAACTACAATCCGATTCACAAAACCAAACTAAAACCTGAAGAATATCAACATAAACGTGCGAATACTAGCCCCGTAAAATTAAATAAAACTTTATTCTATAACTGTGATTCAATCTATAATTATTATTCTGACCCGAATATCTCTAGCAGATCCTTGTCATTGACTTCGGTTCATTGCTTGAGTGGCTGCCTCAATCCTGGCTTGCAATTTCTCTTCTAATTTGTCTTCTATTGCTCGATTAACTGCTTCTTGAAATATATGAGAATTGACGAAGCTTTGAGAAGAATTGGGTGGTGCTGATGAAGAACATGTTGGAGCATTAGATATATGGTTAACTCCGTGCAAAATGTTAGAAGACTCGGACCCGACGCCATAAATTCTTCCTTTTGTTGGTCCTCCAGTTACCTCGAGCCAAACATTGTCAACTAGTTATTTGGGTAGAGTAGATATCGTTGTCATGAAAGCCTCATCTCCACTGTCATCTTCTTCCCCATCTTCATCATCTATTGTTATATCATCATTTTCGTTATCTTGTGTCTCAGACCTGTTATCTAGACGACGTTTCTTCATGTTATTCTTAATTTTTTCCTGATACAACACAAATTCAATAATAAATATACATGACATAAATCCCACAATATATATATACATAAACGAATTTAGTTATTGTATCATAACACGTCAGAATGCATAAAAGTCAGGAATACCAAATAAGCTGAGATAATAAACACATACATAAACATTTCAATAATCCATCTATATAAAAGGCTTAATCATGCATTGAATAAAATATTTCAATGATCCATCTAAATAAAAGGCTTAATCATGCATTGAATAAAAAATCTTGTACTCCAATCAACTCAGATTCATAACCAAATCCAACCTTGGGTTGAATAAAAAAGCATGCAATTGTATTATGTTAATGAAATGAGATGCTTACCCATATCAATTTTGACTTCTTGTTGACCCAATCTTTATTTTCTTTTGTCTTATGAGTTATCAGGAATAACTCCGAGGCACTAGGTTATTTCCCATTTCCTTTCACCTAAAATAAACATAATAATTAAATGCATTTTATATAATTAAATTGTAGAAAATACAAATAAAAAAGGGAAGAATACTTACATATCTTCTTTTATATTCTGATATTGGAATTGATCCTCATGTATGCAGCGATTGACCTGAACCATCCGGACCATTTTTTCTATTATTAGCATTAGTTTCTGACTTGTCCTTAAACTTGTTGCTATTCCAATAAGCCAGTAATTCATCCCAGTGATTTCGATTGATCCACTTTGGTGTTATTTTTTTATCACTGAATTATTTCCTGGCTTTGTTCAAACTATTGCTCAAGCTCGTGCTTCCTTTTTGTTCAAAAAGTCTTCTTACTACCTGGTGATCCTCACTAGACCAATAATAGAGTTTCTACAAATATTAACTATTAGTAATAAATAATAATAATAATAACATTGCAGGGATCAGAGATATTGGTAAAATATATTAGGAACCTCTACTCAAAACAAAATGCCAGAATCACGAAATCATTAATGAGTTAATCATCCAAATAAAGTGTGAATGCTATAAAATGAATAACATCACATAATTCAAAAAAGAAATCATCAGATGGTATTTATGATATCCTCGTAAAAACAAATTCGATATTTCACCAAGTTGTCTAGAATTATTAGCAATTTCCTTTAATGAAGAAGAATTAAAGTGAAACGAGCAGAATTAAAACATAAAATTATATTGAATAATAAGCTAGCGATCGTGATATCATAATATCCAGCATATATTATCAGCAATCAAATCATATATACCATCAACAATCAAAACACATAAGCAACTAAACACTAAATTTGTTTTATTTGTGTCATTCAAGCTACCATTATGAGGTTCTTCGTCAGACGGGAAAGGAGAATCAGTAGCCTCGACAAAAAACCTAGTAAAATTCTCAAACTTCTAATTCAACCCATCAACTAGTAAAATTCAAGTTTTTCCATAGAAATATAATTCAGGAACACAAGAGATTGAGACATCCATGTTCAACAATGACTCTATACAATACAGGCATCTTAACTAAGAGTTTAATCTAGAATTCCTCTCCAAACTACGCTAAGAATATGACTTAAACAAGCGTCAATTATGCTTTAACCCCTAATTAAATTTCAAAACAGAACTTTAAAACCCTAACTTATAACTCATGGGTTTAATACGAAACGAATGGGAACGAGTGGGGGACGGGTGAGATAGTGAGGGAGAGATTCAGGTTACCTTAATATGTGGAGTTCTTCGTGCGCCGGACGTGTGGGCAGAGATGGTTGTGTTGGTGGTTGCCGTCAGCCTCTGTTTCTCTCCTCTAATTGCCGCTGTTTCTCTCCTCTAATTGTAGAGGCAGAAAAGGGTTTTATTATTATTATTATTATTATTATTATTATTATTATTATTATTATTATTATTATTATTATTATTATTATTATTATTATTATTATTATTATTATTATTATTATTATTATTATTATTATTATTATTATTATTATTATTATTATTATTATTATTATTATTATAAGTATTGTTACAAGTTTAATTCAATCTCTTAAAAGTAGACTACACGTATTATTATTATTATTATTATTATTATTATTATTGATAAAAATTAACATTAGCAATGTATGTTGTTCGTCGCCAATTTATTTGTTAAAATTTATGTTAGTAACAACTATGATGTTCGTAGCTTAGTTTCGTTTCTAATATATTTGTTGTAGTAACGACTATGATGTTCATTGCTAAATCTATAGTAAATTATTTAATTTGGAAACGGATTTATTTTCCATTACTACCATCGTCGCTAATTAATTACGTTTGCGACGGCTCAACCTTCCGTTGCTAGAGATGTTGGTAAATATTTATGTTTGACACGGACTTTGTATCCATCGCCAACAGTTGTCACAAAAAAAAATATGATAGCAACGACCTTTATTTTTATGGCTAAAGCTAACGCTAAATTTAACTTTTGCAACAGACATGATGTGCGTCGCTAGAAGCCGTTGCTATCGATGAACTTTCACAAGTAAAGGGACGAATTCGTCTTCTGTTGCCACCTCCGTTGCTGAACAACGATGGTAGAAACGGATTTATAGTCCGTTGCTAACGGACGTTGCTAAAACACGTTTTTCTAGTAGTGATTATATATATGTATGCTCTATTAAACCATTATAAAAAGACCATTTGCTCAAATCCAAAAAAAAAAAAACACAATAAATAAATAAATCAAATCAAAAAAATGGCTTCCATTTTCTTTTGTGCCTTTCTATCACTATCTTTAGCTATCCTATCCATCAGTTGTGAAGCTGACTTGATAGGAAATGTTTGTTCCCAATCAACGAACCCCTCTTTATGCAACAACATTCTTACATCGGACCCTCGTTCTCGTACCGCAGATCTTCGAGGTTTGGGACAAATCTTGGTCGAAAACGCCAAAGCCGCCACACAGGACACAATCAACGTTGCAAATTCAATCGGCGGAGGCAAAGCTGGCACGTGTGTCAGTGTTTGCGGTGACGCAATTGATAACTTGAACCAGTGCTCTACTTTCTTGAAGAGATCGGACAGAGCGAGTGTCAGTGATCTCCAAACAAAAGGCTCGGCGGCTCTAACGGATATGGGCACGTGCGACGATGAGTTTGGAGATAGCGAGCCAGCTAATCTGAAGCAAGCCAGCCGCAAAGCGCAAGATATCATCGACATGCTTCTTGTCGTTGCGAATAGTTTGTAGAGATGTTCTCTTATTGTGTTTTTAGTTGGCGTTTTGATCAGAAAAAAAAAAAAAATCTATAAAGAACACAATAGATAATTTGAATAAAATATTTTTCTTTTTCTTTTTTCTCTTTTCAATAGTTTTATAACATTTAAATATATCATGTAAAGATGTGAATGTTATGCATAATATATACATGTGAATGCATGTATTACAATAATAGGGTGGGATATTACTCCGTGGGGTATTTACAAATAAGTTCATTGGCTACTTATTCATAAATAGATTCAGACAATAAACTTTTTTACAAAAAAGTGCACACATGGTCCAGAGGTTTGTAAAAGACTATAAAAGCTCATCGTAGTTTAATATGCTCCAATTTCATACTTTAATTTAATCTAACCACAATTTGACCCCAAACTTCACAATTATTCAATTTTGACCCAAAACACATTTTTATGGACAATTTCGTTCGTCAGTGTCGTCGACCGCTGGTCTCTGGTGTTGACTTTTTTTTCTCGTCGGTTTCCGGCGTTGACTTTTTTTTTCTTCCTGATTTTTTAGCCACCGGTTTCCGACGTTGACTTTTTGGAATATTTTTTTTCCCTTTCTTTCTGTAACATCTTTGTTTTTTTGTTTAAACATCAATATTAGTGTCATTGACAATAATATTAACTATATTACTGTTAAACACAGTAAAATTAAGGGTAAATAGCACTTAACCCCCTTGTGGTTTGGACATTTTGCACATGATCCCCTTATGGTATTAATTTAGGCACACAACCCCCTTGTGGTTTCGACATTTTGCACATGACCCCCTTATGGTATGAAATTAGGCACATAACCCCCTTGTGGTTGTGGTTTTGAAATTTTGCACATGGCCCCCATATGGTATGAGATTTGCACATAACCCCCTTGA